CAGGAGACTTTCATCACTGCCCCGGATTTGGCAAAGGATTATTAGATCTGACCCCAAAAGCATGAGGAAAAAAAGTGGATAATCTGAACTTCATCAAAATGAAAAATTTTTGTGCTTTTAAAGGACACCATCAAAAAAGGGAAAAGACGACCCACAGAATGGGAGAAAATATTTGCAAATCATATATCTGATAAGGGACTTGTATCTAGAATATATAAAGAACTCTTACAGTGCAATAATAAAAAAGATAACCCAATTAAAAAAATTAACATTTAAAAATTCTTAAATAAAAATCAAGAGATTTTGTTTTAAAATCCAGATGACCTGGAGACACTGAAAGAACTGACCACTCTGGGCTCACATTCCTGCGTGGCAATGACAGACTGGAGCTGAGCAGCAGCTGCCTCCTCTAGGTCAGTTCCCTAATCAGCCACAGGCCCCACCACTCCCCACTGTTTCCCAACCCAGCCTACTTTTCCCACTGAAGCCTGCGGAACAGAGTGAGGGCTCCTAAGGAGGTCGTCCACTCACTCACTCTAGTGTAATCCTTTTAAGACTAAACTCATTCTGGTGCTCAGTCGAAGTTGTTTGTGTTTTGGTTTTTTATCCCCTTCACTGATTTTATCACGACGTTCCAAGAAAACTCTTAGAAAGCCGAGACTGTCTCAGATACTTTGCATCTCTCACAAGACCCAGCACAAGACTAAGAACAAAGCAGATACTCAGTGCTTACTGAGTGGATGCATAAATGAATGAGTGAATACATGCCTCTCTGTGATCTTCAGTACCTGCTTTTTCACCCCCAAATTCTAGACTTTTGCTATTAGGAAGATAGCCTGAAATGAACTTAGGTACATAATAAAAAATAAAACACAAAAGTCAACCACTGCATTTCTATTTCAATTTTCTATTAGGTTGAAATGGAAATAGGAACTCTGAATAAATGCAGAACAGAGCATGAGGGCTGATGGCAAGATGAATTAAAGTCCAGGAAACCGACAATGCCTGGAAACAAGATCACCAAACACTATCGGTGATCTTTGAGAGAACTGTGAAAAACAGGATAGGTGCCAAAAAGCTGGAGATGGGCAAATGTTGTTCTGATTTTCAAAAGGGGAAAGAAGTTATAGCTTGCCAGTTCCCACCTAGAGAATACGGTGTCACTCTCAGGCAGAGTTCTTGAACAGATTCGAAAGGAACACTTGTGAGCACCTCAGGCAGGAAGCAACGTCCTTTTTGAACCCAGTTTGGGGTCACCAAGAACAAGTCATATTAAATTCACTTCATTTTCTTCTCTCTGACAATGCTCCTAGCCTAGGAGATTGGAGAAACATAGTAGATATAATATATAGGGTGCAGTGAGGGAGTGGGCAGTGAAAAGAGCTAATTCCACCCTTGGGCTATATTAATAGAAGCATTACATACAGCATAAAGGAGGTGATAGTTGTTTTCTTTCTCTGGTCACATGTAGAGAATCTCATTTAGAACTTAATAGCACTCCTGAAGAAGACATTTGATAGTACCATCTTTTGGAGGTCCATTTGGCAAAAACTCTTTAAAAGTATACAGCTCTCATCTAGATTTCTGGCACCTGTTGAAAAATGGAAAGATCTGGCTGGGCCTCCATTCCTAAATGGTAACAACGAATTGAACCCAAGTAGTCACTGCCCATTTGGACAGGACATGTGCTCTCAGGCCTACCATAGTTACTACCACCCCTTCTTATATTGCCCTCGCTGAGGTGGTGGGCCAGCTGCCACAAATCATCTTACTTGGCCAGCTTCACTCATTTATTCTATCTGCCACACACCCAAAGTCACTGGAGTTTGCAACCCAGAATGCAGCAGGTGCAAAGGAGAGTGAAGGTGATGAGCAGCAGCGAACTATTTATTATGAGCACGTGAGCATCACCATATGGACTATGGTTCATGTGGATCACAGGGGCTACAATCAGGTCTGCAGACTCGCCATGGGCAGTCATGGGGAAGCAGCATCTGTCTTGTTCGAGAAAGTCCCAAGGGGAAGATACCATAGAACCAGTGGGTGGATGAAGACATATTTAACCCAACATAAAAGCCACTTACAGCAGCCAGAGCTGTCCAAAGATAGACTATGTGGGCCGGGGAGGTGGTGAGTTCCCCATCGCTGGAAATGTGCAAGCACAGGGTATATATACTACAGTGTCGCAGGTATATAATCAAAGGGATTCAAGGATCTGATGAGGCAAGAGAAGGCATGAGTCTAAAATTTTTTACGATAGGAAAAAAACCATTTTCAAACATTCTCCTTTATTAGGTCAGTAAATTCTTCAAAAAGAGATGAAAGAGAGTAAGTCAACAAAGAACTCAGCATCCTTTTTAAAAATCAAAAACTCACAAGATTCACAGAGGATGAAATCTGTCTAACTCAGTGGAGGGTTTGCACTAAACTGGCCAGATGATACCCGGGGAGAAAGGCGCTCGGCACCAGGCTTTATTTTTGGTGATTGGTCAAACGTTCTTCAGAGGTGAGCAACAAAGGCCAGGGATGAAAGTAGGAGGGTAAACAATGGAACGCCATCAAGAGGCAGCCAGGCGCCCCCACCCCCCCCAACTGCCATCTGCTCCTGACATCAATCCTTCAGGCAACAATGTATCGGGAATTCTGAGCCTAGAAGACAACGGGGCCTTCATGTTTCCAGCCTCGTGACCTTGGGCAAGTCATTCAATGCCACCAGGCCTCAGTTTTCTCATGTCCAAAACTGAGCTCCTACGAGCCCTTTCTCTACATGGTGCAGGCCGAGAGTTGTGAGATCTCGGAGTGAGCCACGCAAACTGTAGAGCCCTGTGCACACGTCAATAACTATGATGATGATGAACAAACAGAATTTTAACAGAAAAGATTGCAGACGGTTCCGGGCACAGCGGCATCCTGACCTAATCCTGTGGGTGGCAACTCCCAAGGAAGAGATTAAACTCTTGTAACCAGAAGGCAGACACTTAGAGTCTGGAAGAGACAAGATTATTTGGACAAATTTCCTACTGAAATGCACTACCTTGTACTTGCTAATTAGTTGCTAAAATAAAGGTGAACCGTAAAAAGTAGAAGAATCAGCTAGAGCAATAAACGCTTAATTGATCCTCAAGCAGAGTTCCCGGCCCAGGGGTAGCAAACTTTTAAAAGGGAGAGAAGCCAATTTCCTACCAAGATGATGCTTTTAAAACTCCAAACTGTCCAAAACTCAACATCCCCTTCTCTATTAGGGAATTTTTCATGGGAATGTCAGTTAAAAAAAATAATAGCCAAATTAGTTTTACAAAACATGAACTCCCTAAAAAGTATATAGGCAAAGACCAAAACTGGGTTTTTTTTCTGTATTGAGCAGTTGGGTGAATTCAAATCTCTGACCAATAAAGGGCTTGTTTCTAAATTTCCAGCAGGGCGGAAACATCCTAAGTCACTGTTTTCTGCACTGAACTGAAAGCGAAGACGGAGGTGAGCAGGGACCAGAAGCGTTTGTGCTCACTGGGGTCCGCGCAGAGGTGACCAGCATGCCGGCTTGGACCAGAACTCAAAGGCACAAGGCAGTTGGCGAGACTGGGAAAAAAACAAAGGCCTCCCCCGACGGCTGCTCCCCTCCCGAAGTTCCCCAAGCATCAGAAGCGTGTGCAGCAGCTGGGGATGCCCGGCCTCCCGCCGTTCCGGGAGAGGTGCCCCGACTTCCCGGGTCACCGAGTCTCGAGCTGCAGCAGCACCTAGAAGCAGGTGTGGCAACGTCAGGTCGCCTGAGCCCCAGATAACCAACACCGCCCACAACCACAAGGGCAGGCATCAACATCCACGGAAGATGTGTTTTGTCTTTCCTCCTTCTATGAGAGACCACAACACGCCCTGTGTCGCAGCAAGGAGAACCGTGACCAGAGAGAAAACAGATGCTAAGAGGCGCCGGCCCAGGCTTCCCTTAGGGTCCATCCTCGGAGAAGGGGTGGACATGGTGGATGGTGCCTGCAGGTTTTCCTTGCCAAAGCTGAGCCTAGGACTTGTGAGGGTGGGAGAAGACCCTGTCTGGCCCAAATGAGGACTCTGCCTGCGTTTGTCTCTGCGATTGTGTCCGGTTTCCCATGTAACCTTGCTAGCGTTTTAGGGAGCAAGGTTTTAGCTTTATCCTTTAGCAAGGATTTAGGGAGCAGCTTCTGAGAGGAGTGTGCACCCGTGCCTCCAGAGCTGGAACAAGCAGCCAGAGGTCATCTCTTCCTCCCGGCAGGCTTCCCCGGGCACCACGGAAGCCAGGCAGCGCCTACCAGCCCAACCGGCAACTGAGCTGTTGGCTTTGAATGAAGGCTGATGACCCTAAACACTAGTGCATGGACAGTGGCTGGGGCTGCACACTGGGAGAGAATACATTTTCTGCACCGAGCTCCCTCTTTATGCCTAAATGCCTGCATTAGTTCGAATCAATATGCCCCATAACAGTTAATCCATGGCAACCCAGGCCAGTGAGAGACACCGACAAAGACACGCAGCCCAGGGATGCTGCTTCCCTGTGCACACGCATGCGAATCCCAGCCCAGAGAAAGAGGCAGAGGCGAAGCCACAACGGAAACCAAAAAGGAGAAAGAAAAACAAAAAGCAGGTCGTAAAATATACACATCATATGAAGGGGCTTTTAGCGTTGGGAGGAGGGGAGGAGGCAGTGTCTGTCAAACTGGGCTTAGAGTGACATGTCACGGCCAAGATGATGGAGTATGGGCGACACTCCTAAAGCCGGGCGCCGGATCCTCCCCACACACCTGCAATGCAGTGACTGTGCCCGCTCTGTACTCCATGCTCCCAGCGCCAGCGCTCTCTGCAGTTGAAACCAGTCCGGACTTGTGCGGCTGCCGCTGTTTCTCCTCACAATAAGATTATTGATGCAGAACAACATTTCACGATGGCAGGGAGGAAAAGGGGGGGAAAAAAAAGCCAGAGCAAGAGAAAAAGGAAAGGGGAGGGGAGGCGTGACTCCCCAGCCCGCATCTCACCTTTTATTTGGGCTTCATATTCGGCGATGATCTCTTTGTCTTTCTTGAACTTAGTTTGCGATGACATCTTCCAATGTGGCCAAAGGCACTGACAGGCGGTTTGATTTATTTCTCCTTTTCTTCCGAGTCCACTCTCAAGCCCTGGTAATCACACGGCTCTGGTCGATTTCACAGGTTTAGGAGCTAATCTCTTTCACTCGCTGCAGAGCCAGGGGAAGAATCCTCTCGGTCTGGTAGGAAAATTCTCTTTACTCGTGGAAAAATGTCTCTAGTAGCTTGGTCTGGTCAGCTCCTCTTGCAAAAGAAGAACCACCACCCTAGGAGCACGGTAACCTGCCCCAGATTTTCAAGATTTTTCTTCCAAAAAAATAATAACCAAGAGCACTCACTCACACACTCACACGCACACACACACACAAACACACTCGCGCGTGCACTCACGCACTCATCCAGACATGCACACACACAGTCGTGATGCACACACACACATACACACACACACCCTCACTCACACCCGCTCACACACACACACACATCCACAAGAGGCGGGGCGCCTCCTTGGTCGTCCTGTCAGCCCCCGGCTGGCTTTCGAAGGCTCTGCTAAGGAGATGATGGCCAGGTTGCCAAAGGGCCGGTCATCTCGCATCCTCCCTCCCCTCGGCGCCTCCGGTCTGATGTACAGTGAGGATCAAAGCCAGGAGAGCGAGATGGAAGTTCTCCGGCTGCAAGGCTTGGTGAACCGGGGCTGGACTGCTCACCCTGCAGGGCTGGCTGAGCCAGCGCTCCCCCACCGCCTTCGTCACTAAGCCCCACCTCCCGGATTTTATAACAACTGACACATTGTAGCCTACAGGAGAGCAGAACTCACTGCAAGCAAAAAGGGGAAGAAACGGCACAAAAGGGAAGGCAGCAGGAAAAAGAATCGGGCTGGGAAGGCCTGAGAGGCCCCTGCAAACTCCCACCATTAGCAGTCGGGTTAGGGATTTTTCTTCCAAAAACTCCAAAAGGTCTACTTTTTCTTTGCACCGTGCAATTTAATTCAATTTCTCAAAGCAACGGCTATGTGACAGTTTGTCACTCTGTGGGGATTGTCTGGCAGAGGAGAGGGGCTGACCCATAGGCAGGCTCATTAATATTTGTTGAGCAACTGCGGGGTGGCGGGGACAATGCCAGGCATTTCAGTCATGCAGCTTTGCAAAGCCGCTGAGAGCAGGCGTGCTGGAAACGCCCGGCTGCCTCAGGATCCTGTGTGGCTTTGAGCAAATCAATAACTCGCTGAGCCTCAGCTTCCTCGCCAGTAAAATGGGCTCTCTTTGGGGGCTTTTTCCTTCATTCTTTCAACAAATATTTATTAAAAGCTGACTATAGGTCAGGCACCGTTCTGGGTATGGGGATACAGCAATGATCAAAATAGGCAAAAAAAAAAATCCTTGCCCTCCTGGATTCCAGCATGTCCACATCACAGAGCTCTAGGACGTCGCCACCGGTCACGTTAATACTCTCAGGAAAAGCAGCCCGGAGCAGAACTCAGAAGGCATTGTGAATGGTACCTCCTGGAGGAGTGCAAGGCAAGAAGCCCTGGGACAGGGAGAGGAAAAATACACAAAATGAGGAGTTACATAATGCGGTAGATGACAAGTGCTGGGGGAAGGAAATTCTGCAGAGTGAGGGGCTCCAGGAATGGGGGAGCTCTCGGGGGGATCCGATAAGAAGTAAAGGTAAGCTTAGCACTTGGCGCCTGGGACACAGTAAGCACTCCATAAATGGTAACAGTTCTTGTCACCCCCTGACATCCCCCTAACAACCTGACAATCTTCTTTCACAGATTAGAGGAAGTGACTTACTCAGGGTCCCCAGCATTCAAACCTAGGCTCACACCGATTCTGCAACCAGCACGAGCCACGGCCTACAGATGGGAATGCCCAGGATCTGCTGGGAGAAAGCAGAGGGAGAAGTCCAGCTGGCAAATCGAAGGCTTAGTACAGCTTCGTGCCCCAGACAGGAGGTCACAGATTCATAAGTGGATGCCCTGGCCCACAGCCATTCCTGTGGCCCCCCGCCTCCTGCTTCCCCGGGGCATGCTCCAGCCCTCTGTGGTTCCCCTTCAGACCAGTTTACAACAGTGAAAGCCACACGTGTTACCTGAGAAAGATGTGCTCAGAGATTAACATCGCTGCCTCAAGCCTTGACTCTCACAGGAAAACAGGAATTAGTACCGTGCACCTTGGGATGTGACAGAGCGGATTCCCGCCCTGGGCCTGCCACAGACTAGCTCTGAGAACTGGAGCAAGTGGCTGAACCCGCTTGTTGTCCATTTGAGGCAGGAACTAGTAAATATCAGCTATTCTCCTCATTACTGAAATTTAAAATCCACAAATACTTCTGGGAGAACCATGTGTAGGGCACTGAGCCACAGAAATGTCACAAAAAGTCATATGAAACCGAAGCGGAGTGTGGTATAAAGCCATGTGCCAAACGGCAGAAGCAGGTGGATTTGGGCATAAGGCAGAAGGTGATTTCAGTTCTGGCTCTGCTGCTTACCAGCTTGGGGGGCAGGGGGCCTTCGGTAGCGTCTGCACCTTCCTTGAGCCTCAGTTTCCTCATCTGTAAAATGGTGGTGCTCTCACTCATTGCACAGGATCCACCGTGAGCATGGACATAAAGTGCCTGGCAAAGAGCAGAGGTCCACGGATAGTATTTGTTTTTTAGGGCCCAACTACGCTGAGCCTAAGACAAGAGTTGAGGCTCCACAGATACCCAGGTGAGAGGCAGGCAAAGAGGAAACAAGAAAAAGGGGAAAAGAAGAAAAGGGTTGTGCCCTCTGCAGATACATCGCCACACACAGTGCACCCACGTCATCCGGAATCTTCTGTCCCCAGGAAGAGGTGGCATGACTTGGGCAGGCCCTCTGGCACGACGCCCTTGCCCCTTCCTTCCGGTCCTCCCCACAGCTCACCCCGCTCTCCCAGCTACCCTTCTGTGACACTTCCCCCCACGTGGCACTCCTTCCTTGCTGAGTGAGGACCAGCTGTGTTCCTGATGAGCACCCTTCATGTGGTAGCAACAGAAGCCAGACCTCTCCCCAAATAAATGTTGTAGGAGGCAGAGGAAGGGGCTCTACCATGCGATTTGGTCTGTGCCACCCCCCAAGGGTAGCAACACTCCCAGAAGGGTATATTCCACTTCCCTCAGGCCCATTTCCTGAATTCTTTTAGATACTTCTGAATTATACCAATAGCTAGTATTTATCAAGCCCTCATTCCATACATGCACTGGGCCAAGTCCTCTCTATAGATTTTATCACCAACTTCTCTCTATAACCCAATGGGTCACGTGCTGTAATCACCCTTGTTTTACAGATGGGGAAACAGAGGCACAGAGCAGTGAAGCAGTTTGCCTAAGGTCACACAGCTGGCTACTAACTGGTTCACATTCCAGCCCAGGTGTGATGGATATCAGAGCCCAAGAACTTAACCAGCACACAATCTGATCCCAGAGCCATCATCGTAGGAATAATTGCTGTCGAGTACTGACATTTTTTTCAGTCAATACAGTATTCAACCTAAAGCTTGTCATTAAAAAAAAGAGAATATGGGATTAAAAGTATAAGGAAAACATGTCACAAATGGCCATTGATGAGACTTAAATTACAATTACAGCTGAATAACACAAAACCCACTGAACTGGTTTCCGTTCCTGGTACAAAAAAAAGAAAGACTTTACTTGAAGAAACAGTGACCAGAATAGTGTTTGGTTTAAGGCAATTCTATTTTTCTGGCCAAATGTGAAGCCCCAGTAACATGACTAATAAGAGTTGATGTCTTCCGTGACATTCTCCACACTGCTACATGCACCCTCGGCTGGCTCAGTGAGCAGTTCTGCCCTTTAATCTCTGCTCTGCAAAATGAAAGCAGCGACAGAACTCAGCTCGTCAGCGCCAGGACGCGATACAATTAATAGTGATGACGACAACACGCCTTGTGTGTATATGTTGCTTTATAATTTGCAAAGCCCTATCATATCTTTTCTCTTATTTGGTCCTAATGATAACTGGAGGAGGCGAGTGGGGATGCTTTTAATCCTTGTTTGACTGATGAGGAATTGAGTACGTAAGTGGAAGCTTGGATGGGAGAATGAGTTTATAACCTCAAGTATAAGGATGGCCTCCCTAACTGTGTCACAAAACTGTAAGCCACAAAAGCCTGACAGATTCAACTACGGAATTTTTTCAAAAGTCTGCCTGGCCAAAAGGGCCGTATTTGCAACACCCTTCGTAGGCCAAGAACTAATTTCCCTAATATACAAAAACATACCAATTTCTCTAACAACTCAGACAAATACTGTACACGGATGTTCACAGTAGCACTAGTCACGATAGCCGAAAGGTGGAAGCAACTTAAATGCCATCAGTGGGTGAGTGGCTAGGTAAAACATGTTCTTCCGTACAATGGAATAGCATTCAACCATAAAAAGGAATGAAGCGCTGATGATGCTACAAGGTGGATGAAGCTTGAAAACATTCTGCTAAGTGAAAGCAGCCTGTCACAGAAGGCCACGTGTTAGATGAACCCATTTATATGAAATATCCAGAATAGCTAAATCCACAGAGGCAGAAAGCAGAGTCACAGTTGCTGGGGGATCGGGTGAGGGACTGCTTAACAGATACAGGGTCTCTTTGGTGGTGATGAAAATGTTTTGGAACTAGATAGAGGTGATGGTTGCACAACACTGCGAATGTATTAAATGCCGCTGAATGGTTTACTTTAAAATGGTTAATTTTACATTATATGAATTTCATGTCAATAAAAAATAAATGCTAAAAAAAAGTTTCTTGAAATCTATGAGAAAAACACCACCAGTCCATAAAAAACTCAGTAAAGGATATGAATAACACTTCACAAAAAGGGAAAAACGTATGAAGTGTTAACCAACCTCCTTCATAATGAATATAATTCAGGCATGGCTGGATCCAGGTGCTCTAACAACATCCACAGGACACTATGTGTTTTTCCCCAACTCTCCATTTTGCTTCCCTGTCTGGTAGTAGACTCTCCCTGAGAGGTGGCAAAGGCACCCCCAACAACTCTAGCCTTACGTTCCCCTAGACTGGCAACTCCAGCAAGGAAGGCGAAGTCTTTCCCAGGAGCTCCAGCAAAAATCCCAGGAGTAGTCAACTGGCCCTGGCTGGGGCAGATGGCTATCCCTGAACCAACCACTAAGGCCAGGGGCGTGGAATGTTCTGCTTAGCTAGGCCTGGGTCATGGGCTTGCCCCTGCCGTGGGGTCAGTCCCAAACAATCCACATGGCCTGAGAGAGTCCCAAAGAAGGATCAGGGTGCTATTCCTAAAGAAGGAGGAGAGGATGCTGGATGAGCAAAATGAACACGTATCTGCTGTGGAAAGGATGTGGAAAGGAAGGAAGGGGGATTCTAGAAGAGATCCATGGAAAATGTGATAGAGCAGCTTCAAATTATCCAGCTTTGAAGTTCCTAAAACCCATTCTCATCCATTATCTTGATCCTCCTACAGCCCTTTGAGATGGGTAATATCATTCCCGTTTTACAGATGAGGAAATGAAGGCACACAGTGGCTGAATGACTTCCCCAACCTTCCATGGCTAATAAATGGGAGAGCCGACCAAGAAAGCCAGGACACCTGACCCTGCCTCTGGTGTTCTTTCTGCAACCCGTGTAGGCACTGCACTCTCCCCAGACACACTAGGACACACACAGGAGCTCACAGGCCTTGGGCACCAGGCAACTTGGAGCAATCAGGCC